ACTATTTGGGCTAAATTTGTCCTAATTTTTCTATGAAAAATTTTTTTGAGACAGTCCTCTCCTGCCGACAGCATCAAACATCCTTATAGTAGTAAAATTATTAAACTCTCAAGGCAGTTTCATAAATTGTCCGCCATATTACGCGCGAGACGCGCGCGCGCCTATATGCTGCTGAACAGAGTACTTTCGTCCAAGTAACGCCAATTTTTTTTTGCAGGAAAGCTCCCTCAGAAGTAATGGCTGATTTGCTATCTCGTATTTATGAAATGGCAACGCCATCGGCTGGTGCTGATAATGGAAGTGTGGAGTTGGATGTGGCAAGATCAACACTAGTAGCCCTGAACATTGTTGCTCAAAAACAATTGAAGGTATGCTACAATGCCCAAGTTCGCTTTTGTGTCATTGCAACCAGTTTTTTCTAGGTGCTGAATGGAAGCCATATAGCTCGTCTTGTTGCCCACGGGTGTGCGTGGATTGGAGACGGCCGGCCACCAGTCCGCATTTTGGTCATTAGGTATGCCGTATCCTTTTTCTTCATTATATAGGAAGGAAGAAAAAAGGTTACGGGAGCTAAAAGTGGGCTTGAAGCGATATTGCGAATGCCTTTTTTCCTTTGTTTTTAACTCTCAAAGCTAGAAAACTGATCACCATCGGTCCGTATGTTGATTTGAATATTTAAAGACTCCTCCGTGTGTTGGTTCAAAAACTACCAGAATTTGCTCTGCAACAGTATCGCGACCTCTTATTGACTTCTATATTCGAAGGACAACTCACTTGCGATCTCACCTCCAAGGTAATTTTTTCGCTATGAGGGGCTTTTTGAATGTGTTGAAAAGTTTTTGAACTAGGTACGCAAAGCAAATCGTCTTTTGCTGGAAGTCTTAATCACCAAATTTGGTGTTGATGTATTGATGAAATATACGAACAAGCCAGACTGGGTTAAACAGATGAGGAATATTGAAAAGATTAATAGGAGAAAAGAACGACAGATGAATAATGAAGCAACTGCGAAGGACAGCGATGATGGTAAAATTTTGAACTGCATCATTTTTTGGTTTTTTTTTTTAATATAAGAAATGCTCTAGTATATTTCAGAAGTTACTAGTGAAGCTGATTCTCGTCTGACCTCTCGCACAGCGGGTGCTGATACCATATTGAAACTTTTGGATGACAGTGACACTTCCGAGAGTGATGGTGAAGGTGAAATTGCTGAGCTCCGTAGTAGAACCGGCAGTGTCTGGTTGAAAGAAGACACTGATATGGGTGATGCAACTGACCTGCTAGATAGGAAGAGTATGCTGCTGAAGGTTTGTCAATCTCATTACTCATAAATGCCGTCATCAGGTATAAACGATTATGTTAGGTCACTACTTCGGATCCAGCTCGACTTGCAAAGAAAAAGGCAAAGTTGATGGAGAAGAAGAAAGACAAGGAATCTGGGTTCAAAATTTCAAAGGAAGGAAA